CACATAATTTGTACCTTGTCCCAGAGGCGGGATACCCAGCTCCCCTTCACTCAACGTAGGTGTTAAAAATTACCAAATAACTTCCGCAGCTGCAGTATACTGCATGGTCCGGGAATCGAACCCGGGTCTACCGCGTGGCAGGCGGTAATTATGCCACTAAACCAACCATGCATATACTTACGTAATGAAATTTTTAAGGTTTCGCGACAATCCCCACCCGCACCCCCTAGCTTTCCACCACGCACGCATAGCTACCCACTTCTCCGGGAGGGCTACCAACTTGTAATTCGAACTATAGTGGTGGTTTGCGCAAGCCTAACTGCTGCGGATATCGAATAAGGATGATGAGGAAATTGTGGGGGGGAGAGCAGGAAAGGAAAGGTTATGACCGGGAAAAGGCACTTATGTTCACACCTTGCCTCTCGGCAGGAGGATAGAACGGAAGCGTGGACAGATGCTACACCTCACGGCGTCGATTTCAGAGCGACATCCAAGCGATATCCCCAAAACTCCATTTCTATCCAAACTCCTGGTCGAACGTTTCTTGCCGACGATTTCGACTGCGACTCTCCCAGGCCTGCGCAAGAAAGTAGTATGGATGGGAGAGAAAACCGGGCACCGAAAAACAACCATCGACGCGATCCGCCTGCGCAGTGGCGTACCCCTATGATTGTGGTGCGCAGGCTGCACAAGGCAACATGAACAAAAGTGAGACGTTCTTCTGTTCCTTTTTGAGTTGTTTCGGGAAAGACCCCCCGCGCTTCTGCCTGCTCGACTCTGTTGACCCGAACATAGCTGAGAAGGTCGCATTGACTCACTAGGGAGTTGGCAGCCAGGCCGTGCACAGCCAAAACAAACCGGGTAAACTGCGGCGGTCTGCGGTCGATGCAGTTGGGAAGGTCCTATTATGATGCCGAGGACGGGCCCCGCCGAACCACCCCACCAAAAAAAATGCGCCATCAAACCATCCAAAAAATACATCAATATCCACCACCAATCCCGCCCCTCACACCCCTCCTCCCCCTACCCCCGCCACCTCTCAACCTCCTCCCTCGTCTCACGATCAAACTCCTCATCATACTCCACGCCCTTCAAAAGCGCCCTAACAGCCTCCTCCTGCTCCGGGCTAAGCCCGTGAGCATTCACAGACGGGGCCGAGACGGAGTCGGTGAAGAACCCGTGTGCGATGGTGCGGTCGACGGAGGCGGCGAGGCGGAGTGCGTCGAGTTCGGATTGGCGGGCGGCGGCTGCGGCGCGGGATTTGAGGATGGCGTGGATGGTTGTTGGGAGGGGGAGGGGGAGTTGTGGGGGTTGGAGGGTTGTGTTGTGGGCGAGGAGGGTTGTGTATACTTTGCGGGCGGGGGTAGGGAGGTATGAAATAAGCCGGTGTTCGTGACGAGCCAGTGCACTTGAATGAGCTACAGCTTCCTCACCTTTATAGCTCCCGTAAGCGTCATTAGCCGCATACTCCCTCTGCCTGCGTGAGAGCGGATACGCCTCCCAATCCCCCGTCCGAATCTCGGGGCGCTTATTCATGTACTTCCCGAGCTGGTTCAAAATAAATCAGGCGGGGTCAGAATAATGTCCCTTAACATCGGCTCGAAAAGACGCCCAACGTTGCGGGCATCCCGCCCTACCAGCTTCTCCACCAAATATTGAAGCGTGGGTCGCTCAACCCCGCCAAGCAGCTGCGGGCAGACGGCTGTCGCGAGAGGACCGAGATCGAGGAATCCTCCCATGCTCACGATGAAGTCTCTGGGTGCGGGCGGATGGTTTATCAAATGGACCGGGCAGATTGGGTTCTCGGAAACACGTTGCCACCGTCCTGCCCGATTGATTTGTTCTCGTCACTAACCGATGCAGCTTCAAACCATCGCCTTGAATTCCCAATCCGACTTTTAGGCACGCCTTATCTTCGAGAAGATTTCTTAGTGCTGCGGGGAGTACTGTTTGACCGGAAGAAATATTCGGAGGTGAGATTCGGAAATTTCGGTGGACCTCGGGAGTCGACGTCCGGGCATGCTAGGATCGATAGAACCACGCACCTCTCATGTGCTTCACGTGGAAGACTAAATGCAGAAAGAGATCAGTATTGAACGATGACTCACACCGCCCCCCCCCCCCCCCCCCCCCCCCCCCCCCCCCCATGGGTAGCGACATCCCCCCATAAAAAAAAAAACGCACGCCCGATGATGCTCCCGTTGCAGACCTGCACGAGGGCAGTGCGGCGCTGCGCCCCCGCGCCCGCTATATAATCCACTTTCCACTCGATGTCGACGCCGATGACTGGGCCTCTGAGGTGGGGAGAATCGGTGGGTGTTGTGGGGATGGTTTCAGAGCTTGGTTCCGCCCATCTCCGCTCCCTCTCGCCGGGGTCAGGTGGGTACGCAGACTCGGACGAGGTGGGAAACCTCGCTGCCCACAGTCAATCTGCTAGCACCACCCCCTCCATTTCCATGACCAGGAATACCCCGCCCGCTCCCCGCCGCGAACGACCCTCCCCCAAATTCACCTGCACATTTCAACCACACTCTCTGCAGCACGCACATCAGTGCAATATCGCACCTCGCACCCATCCTCCCTGTAATCGAGCGCAGGCAGTGAAGCGTCCCCGTTTGATGCTAACGGCGGCGGTTTTAGCCTGGTTGATGGTGACGGCGGTGACTTTCCCCATGGCAGCCTGGGGTGGAGAATCGGGGTGGTGAGCGGCGGGTGGCGTTTGCGATGCAGAGGGGGTCGAAAAGGTTCGTACGTCCTGCGCGGCTTGGTGGAAACTTGTTGTGGGGGGGCGGAAGGATCGGCGGTCATGGTGTGCCCGGGAATGGGGATCGTCAGCGGAGGTGAAAGGACAAAAAGGTCTCGGACACTGCGCATTCAATTCGATTTGATGAATTCAACAGACTTCTCAAGTCCGAATCCAGGTCGGCTTCCGCTTCTCCGTCCACTGTGGCTGCGGCATCGTCAGGAAACATATGAGAGCTCTTGAACGAGCTTCCCTCGTTCAACGGTGGTCGCGATGGCACCCCTCGTTTTGTTCCTTTGACACGACCCTTCCTTAGCATCCACTTACCCGCCTGCCCTATTGACCATTCAGATATGAGGAGTTCCTCACCACGGCAGTCGCCAGGTGCGAATTCATCAAGGCAACCTGGAAGCACAACATTTCAGCTCATCGCTTCTCTGCCACTTGAATCTGCACGGTGCCGACGTGCTCCTGCATCAGCCAGACAATCGCGAGGAAACATAGAGCACGGAGTGCAAAGTTTGCAAACCTAACAGGGTGCTGTTCTGGTTGAGACGGAGAAGAACATACGTGACCATCTCGAACGAGAAGAAAGAAAAGGAATTCAATCAAAGGCAATCGGCCGTTCAATGAGGAGGGGAGGTGTGACTCGGGAGGTTTCCGAGGAGGCGAGCAGTTCAGGATCAGTATCATGTCCGAGGGAGCCACAAAGAACCCCAAAGGGCAATGCGGAGGAGTCGATATGTGGCAAGAAAAGGAAGCCCGCCTCCCGCAGGAGGAAACGCGTCGCTATCCGTACTTGTGGGTTGACAAAAGGCAAGGTGAGGACGTCAATTCAGACAGAGGCACTGCCACAAAAAAATGACAGTAGTGTCGAGCGAAAAAATGCATGGTCCGGGAATCGAACCCGGGTCTACCGCGGTCTCCTGCAATTGGCAGGCGGTAATTATGCCACTAAACCAACCATGCTTGTAATTGTTGAGTGGAGAATCCAACACGCTAATATTATACATACTGTTATTCGCCGAACGCACCTATCAAAGTGCTCGTAAGTATTGATGGCTTCCCCGACCGGGCGACGATGTCTCGTTTATGTGTGAAGAGGAAGCGGAGAGGGCGAGGGGTGAGGGATAGGCAGGCGCAATTTACTCCTTCCACCGACGCCACAGCAGCCAGCACACCTCAAATTCTGCGGGCTTCCCAACACCATGCCCCTCCCGACTCCCATCAGTGCATCACGCAAGCTGGCGGGTCTTCGTCGAGCTGAAACCGCAATTCCATATTTCATGTTTTTCAACAACCGCTGACCTGAGTGTGTCTATCCCGCGGGCCGCAAAATTTCCGCCCAATCGCCCAGGCGTCCGGCATGGCGGCCGCCCGCTGCAGGCATCATTCCTCC